CCCAAAAAAAACACACAACCTGAATTCTTCCTCTTCAATAATCCTGTCTAACCTTGTCCATCCTAGTCACTCCCAGTGATGATCTTCAAAGCACAATAACTCACTGCTGCAAGAAATGTGCAGGTTTATTTTGAAATCAAGTTACTATTGCTTATACAGTGTAATACCTTGAAATTGTTCTTTAGGATAAATCAGAGAGTCAAGTCTCTCTGATTTATTGCTGTATGTTTCAAAGGAGCCGTTTTAACAACTGACCTTTGGAGTAACCATATCAGGGTCTAAAGGAAAAAGGCAAGAAAGGACTTATTTTTCAATAAAAAAAAGAAACAGTTTTTGTTATGTTGCCCATGTTTCTCTCTCTCTCTCCTTCAGGGATGTCAGGCATGACTCTTTGGGCCTTAAACCAATTGTGTAAAATTGCAGAAAAAGTTTCAGTAGCTTATTGTCCAGACAGGCTTGTAATTAGCAGTGAAAGCTGCTTATTAATTAGAAAACAGAACATTTTTGTTAATTCACAGCAACTTTTTTTTTTACCAAATAAATGTATGTCCTCCTTTACATTTTCCATAACCATGCAGTGGGACTGGAGTGGATAGGAGTCTTTGCCGGGGCAATTCTAGCCCCTAAGCCTCATGTTTGGTACCCCTGCTATGGTTCATGTAAAAAAAAAAGAAGACAAATGTGACACATATAGTACTCTTGCTTCCCTCTCTTCGCAAGCACCTGTACTTAGCATGCAAGCCAAGAACCCAGAGTGATGATAAAGCTGAATGAATGCTGGCCCTAGCCCAGCACTGTGATAACGTGAGCCATCATTTGCGGTGAAGCCAGTCACTGCTTAACTTCAACAGGTAACAAACTGATGAACAGTCAGGCTGCAGCCTCTGTTTCTACCTGTTCAATGCTTTTACAGTAGAATCACTTTAAAGTCTCTTTGTGCTGGTTTGATCATCTTTGCTTTGTGTTCATATCTAAATACTAAGGGAAATATATGTGTGACCAACTGTCTGCCATCTATAATCCAGTTTTGAGATCCACCCCCAGACGCCTTAATGCCCACTCACATCCTGGGCCATTTGACCTCAGTAAATCACATGACAGGTTGGAGCTAGGTTTCACAATGAATTCACCTGAAACCTTGGCTGATTGTGACCCACACCCATTTTCACCCCTTGGCTCGTGTGATTATATATATTTAATCTCTGTAATGTTCTTGATATTTATATTGATCTATTTGTATATATTAGAGCTATTTCTTATATTTTTAAGTGTAATATATTATATTATTTAATTTAGTTTAGTCGCTTGTTGAGATTTGGCACTATATTTGCATTGGTGGTGCTCTCATTTGGTGCTGGCTCTCACTCTGATATTGTATCACTTCCTGTTCCTGTTACAATATGCATTGGTGTTTAGTGTAGCTTAATCTGTGTATCTCAGGTAATAATAAACCTTTAAATCATATACTGAGACACATGGCATAGAAACTGATTCCCTGTGACCCCTCTTTGGGCAACTTATTTCTTCATAACATTCATATTTATAATAATGGATTATACAGCAGAGGGGAACACATTTTATTATAGCAGCTGTATTTTGAAGTTTATGTCTAAGTTGTTCAGTGCCATGGGCCCAACACAGTTCAGAACAGTTACCTAAACTCTACTATTTCTTGACAGTGCATTTATTACTTCTAGGCAGGACTACTGAAATAAATTGTTATTAGGTTATCCTAAAAACTCGCTGAAACCCCTTTGGTTGTATCAGCAATGGTACTGACGTGGACTAGAGAGAAAGACATTCTCTTCATTGGCTCTTTCAAGAATCAAATTTAATATCCTTCTCCTCGCATGCAACACATACAAGGTCTTGAATAATCAGGCCCTATCTTATCTTAAAGACATCATAGCACCATATCACTCAGATAGAACAATTCATTCACAGACTACTGGATTACAATTTTTAAAAATTAAATGAGAGGCAGAGTCTTCAGCTCTCGGGCCCCGCTTCTGTGAAACCAGCTCCTAGTTTGGATTAAGGAACAGCCACCCTCTCTACTCTCAAGGTTAAGCTTAAAACTTTCCTTTTACTTCTCTATCACATCAACATCCTGTCCCAGGGTATTACCCTGACATGTAGCTGTCTTTTTCGATTATCATGTCTCTGGTCTTATTCACATTCAGAAGCAAATGGTTTCTCCTTGCCCATTTCATAAAATTATCTAGTGCTCTCTACTTCTCATGCCCATTACTAATACATCCAGCCACTGCAGAGTCATCAGAGTACTTCTGTTGGTGGCATGACCTGAAGATGTCCTGAAAGTCTGACGTGTGCAAGGTAACAGCACAGTCCTCTATGGAACTTGTGTACTGTACATGGCTGTTACATGTCTGCAGGCTGCATCTTTTCTTTCCCTCTCCCTTTGCTCACCATTTCCCCAGGTCCACAGACTGCAGGCTGGTGTCAATTTGAGGATCTCCAGTTAATTAGAAGAAGGAGGCTTTGATTGGACAAACCAGGAGTGCACACCCTGACAAGGAAACTCACCTGTGGCTGGAGGCGGCTCTGTTAGTGATGGGATTTCTGGCTCTTTTTAGAGAACCGGCTCTTTCAGTTCGGCTCACTAAAAAGAGCCGGCTCTTTCGGCTCCCAACCGGCTCTTCAGGTTGTTTTGTTGCTTTAATTAATTTATTATTAACAACAATATAAAATTATGCACGAACGGAATTACTCATGTAAAAAAAAAAGTGGTTTATTTATATATGTTTATATATAAATATATACAGTGGCCCCTAGAGACAAAGCACGCACAAACTCCAAAGAATGTACAAACTCCAAACCACATTTCTAGCATAACTGAACTTGCAAAACAGAGCTACCTGGATCACTTAAATTACACAATTGAAAGCATATGTGTATTGTTTGTGTATTTATACACAAGCACTCATATAAATAATTTTAAAACAACAACAAAAGCTCAACACTGCCCCTAGCATCCTGGAGCACTTCTGTTGTGTTTTGTACGTGCTTCGGAGTTCGTACGTGTTTTGGAGTTTGTACGTGCTTTGTCTCTGGGGGCCACCGTAAATATACTTTTATTTATTCACTCCACATAAAATGTAATAAATAAATCATATAATACAAAAAACAACTATTCACATTGAAACTTTTAACAATTTAAATTTTCAGCTTTTTGTTAATTTCTAATTTAGTTTCATGCATTTCATCATTAACTTGCACTCGCACTACTACACTGCCATTTTAACCATTTTAGGTTCAGGCCATTAGGTGGCACAGTGTACTTGTGGCAGGATAGTGCTAACATGTAAGCAAGCTAGAAGACTGGCATCCTTGCTGGGCATCCAGTTAGGGAAGCAACACATTAATAAGAGAATTCTGGGTAAAACCAAAGTTCCGTTCCCTAGTAACTAGTTACTTTGAAAGTAACGAGTAACTTGAAGTAACTGAGTTACTTTTGATAGGAGTAACTAGTAATGTAACTAAGTTACTAATTTAAAGTAACTTACCCAACACTGGTAAAAACACAACCAATACAGCCTTCGTTCTCACAATTGATTGTCCACAAAAATCAGAAGAGAATTAGGAAAAAAGGTTTTTAAATATGCTGCCCCTGTTTTCTGGAATAATCTGCAGAAGGAACTGAAATGATCAGAATTGCTTACCTTGGGGGAGTTTAAGTCCCTCTTAAAGGAACAAGACAATGACTCTTTTACTCAGTGTGATTGTTTTTAATGTTGCTCTTAATTAATCTGTTATTGTATATTGTTCACATGTTTGTATGGGATATTCTATTTGTTGTGTACATGTTTTTGACTTTTGCTGCCATGATGTCAGGTCTCTCTTGGAAATGAGAATTTTTATCTCAATAAGATTTTTTTTACCTGGATAAATAAAGGACTAATAATAAAAAGAATAAATAAAATATTATTGAGTTGCTGTTTTGTAATTGGCTAATTAGACATCTGTGTTAATGAGAAGTTGAATAAGTGTCCCCAATAAAGTGGACAGTAAGTGTATATCCCCCTCTTAACTCTTTCCTTAGTTCTACAGCCCCGTTCTGTCCTCCTTGGCTCCTCACAGGTCTGGTTCCATTCAGTATCACTGATGTGTTCAGTTGGTCCCATGTGAAAACAATTAGGTTCTCCACAGAGACAAACAAGAAACAAACAAGAAGACTCAGAAAAAGGTGTAAAAATGAAACACATATTTAGTAATAAGGATAAGATAGAACTTTATTAATCCCTCGGGTGGGTTCCTCTGGGAAATTCGATTTCCAAAAAAGCACAGCACAGATAAATAGGTCGATGGGAAAACAACAACAAAACACACACTCGGCATGGTGCTATTATTATTATTATCATGTTTTAATAATAATGGAGTGCATTTATATAGCGCTTTTCTAGGCACCCAAAGCGCTTTCCAATGCCACTATTCATTCACTCTCACATTCACACACTGGTGGAGGCAGCTACAGTTGTAGCCACAGCTGCCCTGGGGGAAGACTGACAGAAGCGAGGCTGCCATATCGTGCCATTGGCCCCTCTGGCTATCACCAGTAGGGTAAGGTGTCTTGCCCAAGGACACAACGACCAGGACAGAGAGAGCAGCCTGAACCAGCAACCTTCCAGTTACAGATGAGCTTCCAAATCCCCTGAGCCACAGTCACCCCAAGATGGATGCAGCTATTGTTTCACAGCCACATACGTCTGAAGATCATTCAGATGTCTTTTCCCTATTACCCTAATGCTTTGCTTTCTTTTAATGTGTAGACCTTTTTTGAAATAAATAGTAAAGCAAATCTTAAATAAATATTTATCAGAAATGTAATTTTAATTTGCTTCTAAATACTTTACTACAGTATGAGACGGAGTGTTGTAAAGCTACCAAGACTAAACCTACGCTTTGACACCTCCCTGCTTGGCTGCGTATGCAGCGACTGGAGGCGGGGACCGCGGGTGAAAGTTCACCGGCATGGCGCTCACGTATCAGGTGAACGCTGTGGGAAAGCTGGATACCACGAGCAGTTTGAATCCAAAACAAAACATCAGCATGACCAGTGAGAAAGTTTCAGTCCTGTGCGGAGAGGAGGACGAAGCTCTGGAATATGACGACGACGAGTACGACCTGGAGGCGTTCTCTGATGCCGACCTGAGCTGTGAGGACAGAGGTATGGGATTTTTGCAACTTCACTGCTTTGGAAGGTCACACACTCGGAAAACGGGCTGTTTTCTCTACAATCATGGGCGTAACTAGCGAAGTTGTGTACAGCATGATAATGTCAACTGTGCACACCTACAGAAGTGCCAGGGGTACTGGCATTTATCGACAGCGCTTCACTTGTTCCACATGTTGTCATGTTAGATTAAATACAATTAAATAGATGAAATGAATTTGTAATAACACCCCATGAAGACAAAGTTTCAAAATTCTTGCAAATTAACAAATTATATGGAGAAATCTAAAAAAAAAAACGATTGCAAATGATTAAAAAACAATATAAGAACAATATAACAATATAAGGTGTACAAAAATATTCACAACTTTTGCTCAAGTAGAACTACTTTTGCAGCCAAGTAGGAGTAGAAAGACTTTACAAAGAAACAAAGGAAAAACAAGAAACCTTCAATTTAAAGATAATTCTAAATTAAATAGAAACAGCTCTGCACTAGCCTAAACCGCGTTAATGAGGGCTCCTAACAATAGGCTACTATGGTCCACTCTCCATCATGACCTGGCACACTAGTCCCTGACTAAATATCCAGTGGCTCCTCCCACTCCTTGAAATGGCTATTAAATACCAATTAGCAATTAAAAAAGTAATAACAATGATCAATGTGTCATTCAAATATACAATACAACACAATGCAATACAGTTTTATTTGTATAGCACATTTATAAACCAAAGGTATTTCAAAGTGCTTCACAATAATACACAAGATCAAAATAAATCAATTAACAAAATACAGATCAGGTACTAGCACAGACAGAAGGGAGGCACTAATAGACAAGAAGAGTGAGGTAAAAAAAAAAAAAAAGGTATCAGACCTCAGTTCAGAAGGAAGGTCAGTTCATAGATACAGAATATCAACTAAGAAGTTAAAAGAACCAGTAGTGAAATTAATTCGTTTAGATGCGATAAGGGCACTAACTGGTCAGGAAGGCCAGGTTAAATAAGTAAGCTTTCAGTTGTGATTTGAAGGATTGGATAGAGTCTGAGGCACGAATAGAAGTGGGGAGCCTATTCCAAGGATTAGGTGCAGCTGAAGCAAAGGCACGATGGCACTAGTAATTGACCCGATGATCTTAGCGCTCGGCAACATACAGATAAGGAGATCAGTGAGATAACTGGGCGCAATGTTATTCAGAATTTTAAAAGTGAGTAACAAAATTTTAAACTCAATACGATATTTGATAAAAAGTTACATGAACCAGTGTAAATCAACAAGAGCTGGAGTAATAGAATCAAATTTTCCAGCACCAGTAAGAAGGCGAGCCGCAGCATTCTGAACAAGCTGTAGCCTATGAAGAGGAATGGATTAGAGACCAACGTAAAGAGAATTACAATAGTCTAACCTGGAGTTCACAAAAGCGTGGAAGTTTTTCAAGGTCGCTGCGTGGTATATAACACTTAGCTTTAGAAATCTGGCGCAATTGAAAGAAGCCAGATTTAATGTAAATATAATATAATAATAAGTTAACAGTGGGACTATTGACAATAATTCTCTAAATGTTTAAAATCAACAGATTCGTTAACCTCCATCCCTCCTTCATAATAGATTTGGCAAATTCCCTCCCAGGAACTTTACGATAAAAGGAGTCCAAAAAGACCCAGACTGGATTAGCAGTTCCTGTTTCATGACTCTGTACATTGTACATCGTTCCCTCGACTGTAAATAATCTCTCAGTTCCTGCTGCTGCAAAACATCTCCACAGCATAATGTTGTCACCACCATGCTTCACTGGAGGGATGGTATTGGCTGGTGATGAGCAGTGGCTGGTTTCCTCTAGACGTCGTGCGTCTTTGCCTTTTGGCAAACTCCAGGGTGTAAGATGGTAAAATGTGAAACCAGTGAAGTGCTGTGAATACTATATTGACATACTGGAAATATATTGAAGTGTCTAACGTCACCCATCTCTGGTGGAAAATGTACTGAGATGTGTTGTAATGTTAATTGAAGCAGTTCAATTTAAGTTGTAGATTCAAGCTGCTCTTCATATTTTTGGACACCAGATGGCACCGCAGAGGACTGTGTTGAGAAGCTTTGAGTAATGACACCTTTTTCAATACAAGTCTCAGTGTTTCAGAAAGCTTCATTTGGCCGTCACTAATTAAGAGTACCGTGCGCACCAATCTTTAGAACTTGTCTAATTTAGAATTGCTCACCTAAAGGTTTCCCTTTGCTGTTTTATAGCTCCAGGCTTCAGTGATTCCGTGAATGGTGTGGTCAAACCTCGTATTTTGTTGATGGGCTTGAGAAGGAGTGGGAAGTCCTCCATCCAGAAAGTGGTTTTCCATAAAATGTCTCCCAGTGAGACTCTGTTCCTGGAGAGTACTAATAAGATCTGCAGAGAGGATGTCTCCAGCAGCTCCTTTGTCAGTTTCCAGATCTGGGACTTTCCTGGTCAGATTGACTTCTTTGACCCCACTTTTGACTACGAAATGATCTTCAGAGGCACTGGAGCATTAATCTTTGTCATTGATTCACAGGTCAGTTCACAAGGAAATACAGTGAAACAGTATATACTATATACTGTTGTCATGTTACCATAATAGCAAAATGTGATTAAAAGTTTTGGAAATGGAGCAGTAAAAATCCAAAGCTTAACAGATTCACATTTGGCTGATTCCCCCATCCAGGTCCTCTGTGCACTGTTACTTTTTCAGAACAGCTGCTATTAGGGCTGTGAGATATGACAACGTTAAACACAAGTCTATCGTTTCATATTTAACTCTGTTGTTTATTTTGAGCTATCATAGCAAACTGTTTACTGCAGTATTTTTTTCATTGCTTTAGATGACTGTTTGCAATAGTCACCTCGTCACCACAGAAAGACCAGCCAAAACGAATCAAGGAGCTTGTTTGTAAATGAGCAGCCACCAGAACAGAAAACTGTACTGTGCAAATTATGCAGCATACTGGTCCCCATACTGATGATCGGCTCTGCTCTGTGGTAAAATCAAATCTGACTGTACCACATCATTAAAGGCAAGAGAGAACTGAATGGCAGTGGAAGGATTAATAAGAGGGTAATGACATGCTTAGTATACTGCTTAACTTTAATGATGTTTTCAGAATTTGCATATCTGTCAAGTAGGGCTGTGTCATATTATTGTTTGTGGTGATACCATTATAAATGTTTATGTGATAAAGGGTAATTCCGGTTAATCAGAGATATATTATGATATGATATTCTAGACCCAAAATTCATATCTCGATATTTTTTAGCTGGATGGCGATATAAGATATATATCTCGATAATTTTTTTTTTAAGCCATAAAGTAAGAACAAAAAGAGAGTTCTTAGTCAAAGCTGTGTCCCAGATGTCACACAGGCACTTTTATTAACATACAGCACAGATGTACATGAAAAATTACTCAAAATTAAATTATGAGCATTCATTAAATAATAATGCTCCATAAATAAAAGAAAACAAGGTTGTTTTTGTGCTAAACAAAGAGCTCACAATTGTGCAGTCAAAATGTAAACTAAAAGACGCTGAGCGTAATAACAAAGACAGATTTCACAGCTGCTCTGTTCCCAAGTTTTACTGTGTGACTGATAGCCTGGAGTTTGAAATCCGCTTCATAACCACGTCTCTTACAGGTGCCATTTATGGACTTTATACACACACAATAGGTAATATTACGTTGATGCACAGTACGTATCACTCCGCGAAGCTCCTCGGTAGCCGTAATGCGCCGACAATCTATCAAGCGGTGCAGCTCCGCAGCTTACCAAAGTCGTACTAAAACATTTTTTGACAGATTGCTGAGCGCCGTGTACCACATAAAATCGGTTCGCGGCCATCAAGCACAACCAGAATTCATACATAAGGCGCGCTATCAACTTTTGAGAGAATGAAAGGATTTTAGGGTTAGCGCTGTTAGCTCGTTAGCGCGGTTAGCTCGTTAGCATGTTTAGCTCGTTAGCACGTTGACGCCGTCCAGCCCCACGCATGGGGCGATGCGCAGTAACTCGTTAACGGAGATTTGCCGTGTCCGTCTTGTCGCTGCCTGCACGTGAAGCGATGGGGGAGGAGGGGGAGTTGTCTTCAGTGAAGGCGAGGCGGAGTAACGTTGCGTAGAGACAAAAGTGGACGAAAGAGAGGCAAACTTGCGGCTCCACAACTATAATTATAACGTAACATAGACTATATCGATATAAAGGATATTGTCACATCTTATATCTCGTATAAAAATATATCGATATGTTTTAAAAACTCGATATATCGCCCAGCTCTATGATATTCTACCTGGAAAGTAAGGTTCAGTGGAGTTTTATTTATACAGTGCCAAATCACAACAACATTTGCCTCAAGGTGTATCATAATCTAAGGTAACTCCTACAATAATACAAAGAAAACAGAAAACTTTCAGGGAACTTTTAGAACAGCAAATGCATGAACCAGTTTTTCAGCATAAATCTGAAACATATATTTCTAATTTTTGCTATATTACATAGATAAAGGAAAGGAGTCCTATATGTTTGTTTAATGTGTGCATGACTTGTCCTGACCAAAAATGCCTCCATGATTCCTCACAGACCACAGTGAGGCCATCCAGAGGAATTATATGGCGTGTGAGATTTAAAGTAATCTCAGTTTTGTCCAATTTTATAATTAGAAAATTATATGTCATTCAAACCTTCAGGTCTCTAAGACATGTCCATAATTTAGTTGATTTGTCATCTGTCTTCCTAAATAATTCTAAGTGGGAGACATCTACATTGCAATGAAAGTATATGTAGTATTTTCACACAACATTAACCAGTAGAAGCATATATAATGTAAAAAGTATTGGTCCCAACACGGAAACCTGTGAAACTGCATGGCTAACTTTTATATATGATGAAGACTTCTTATTTACATGATAAAATCCAAATCTCAGTTAGATGGGACTCAAACCTTTGCAGTGCAGTTCCTATAATACCAACACTGTGTGGTAATATACACATATTGCTAAATATATGCAATGTTTGGTTTTCTTCCTGAATACTATCGTTGTTTATATTTACTGCGAGAAGAAACGGTAAAAACGACGTTTTATAAGGAAAACGCTCGAAAGCACTCTCTGTCTGTGAGCAAAAACAAAACCAAAACAAACCCACCCACTATTGGTGGAAAAATGTACCATGTCGACCAATCAAAAAATGATATGGCAACATGGAATTTAGTTGTTTAGGAAGGGGGAAGTTTTAGGAGTGACGGCGGTGTCTTGAGATGTGACAGATTTGCGACGTTTAGCGCAAATCTTGTGTAGTTAATGTGTAGTCTAGTCAATAGTTTTGTTGTGTGTGTCAGAGCAATGAGGCGACTGCTGAATGTTACAGGTGTTACAGGAGTGATACATCTGAAGGAATGATCTTGGTGGGAGGTGATTTCAATTGTACTTTGAAAACAGCTGTCGCCAGACTCCCGGCACACAATGGCCCCAAATCCAAAAAATCTTGTAGTTTATTTATTTATTTATTTTTTTCATTTTTTATTTTTGGGTTTTACAGTTTACGATGCGGGTTACAGGCATTGATTAACACAATTTGCAATAGACCAAACAAAACAGAAACACTGAACAATCGGGAGTGACCAGTAGCCAGATTATTGATTTTAAGATTTGAGAATTAAATTCGGCTTATGTATATTGGTGTATTGGACCCACTTATCCCAGCACGACAAAAAACAACTTACTCTGTTATTCACATATGCCGTTAACTCCTCCATCCTATAAATCTCTAGTGTTATTTCCCACCACAATGATAAAGTTGGTACATCTTGTAATAACCATTTCTTTGTTATACATTTTTTACTTGCAACTAGCAAGGCACTTAGTAAACATTTATCTTTTTTAGACCATTCCTGTGGCGTACATCCAAAAAGAAATGTTTTCATTCCAAAAGGGAATGTACAGTTGAAAATTTCTTGTAGTGTTTCGTGAATGTCTTTCCAATAAGTCCTGATCAAAGAGCAGTCCCACATTATGTGAGCGTGGTGTGCTCGTTGGTGTCCACATTTTCTCCAACATACAGGGGGATTCCCGTCATAATGAGTCTTTTGACAAGGGGTGATAAAGAACCGTATCATAGTTTTCCATCCAAATTCCCTCCATCTTCGTGAGGAAGTGCATTTCCATTGTTGTTCCCATATTTGAGTCCATTCATCCTTTGTTATATACACTCCTCCCTCCTGTTCCCATAATATCTTCACATATTCATTTGAGTGAGAAAGCTTATTTGTAAGAAATGTATACAAAAAGGAAATATGTTTTTTATTTACGTTGCCACTATATGCCTTTTTAAGCATAGCTATCAAATCTACATTAGTGTTCGACGCCACTCTGATTGTTGTCTTAATATGTCTTATTTGCAAGTATCGATAAAAATCCTGCTTTTCCAGATTGTATTTTTGTTTCAATGTATCCAAACTAATTAAGTTCCCATCTTTAGTCAGACTATCGAATGCAGGTAATCCTTTAGCAGACCAACTTTTAAAACGTGAGTCCAATTTATTTGGGGCAAATCAGAGTCATATGCATACTATTTAAATAAAGCCAAGTCCTGTTCCAATTTAAATTCCCTCATAACATTTCTCCATACATTAAGTGTACATTTCACCCAAGGGTTGTAGACCTTGTCTATATATTTTTTAATGTTTAAGTCCATCAGGACAGCTTGTATTGGAAAAGAAAAGATGCTCTCCTCAATATTTTTCCATTGTGCTTTATAGCTTATATCACACCAGTTAATCACAGTCTTCAACTGAGCAGCCCGAAAATAATTTTTTAGTGACAGCAGCCCCCATCCTCCTGTCTTTTTTTGTAATTGTAAAGTTTTAAAACAAACCCTTGGTCTCTTCCCTCCCCGTATAAATCGTGATATAATTTTGTCCCATTCGTTAAATTGGCTTTGATCAATTTGTATTGGTAGTGTTTGGAATAAATACAGTAATCTTGGCAGAATATTCATTTTGATGGATTCAATTCGTGATCGTATAAAGTTAGAAAGGGAATCATGTTCCATCGTTTGATATCATCCACTATTCTCTTCTGCAGGGAACCAAAATTCTCCTCAAATAATTTAGTTAGGTCTTTAGGTATGACAACTCCAAATATTTCAATGATTTTGCTTGCCATCTCATTGGATATTGAGCAACCAAGTGAGCTGGGGGGCTAAAGTTATAGTTAAGTATTTGAGTTTTGGACATATTAATTTTATACCCAGAAAGTTTCCCAAATTTTTGGCATAGATTCATCAGTTCAGGTAGGGAGTTATGTGTTATGTGTGTTAATATCTCATCTGCATAGCAAGCAAGCTTATGTTCCTGTTCTCTAATGTTTATTCCCTTGATGTCTTTGTTTTGTCTGATTGATTGTGCCAGAGGTTCTAAGTATAATGCGAATAAAAGTAGAGACCAAGCGCAGCCTTGTTTATTTCCTCTTTGCAGAGCGAAGCTATTTGAGAGATAACCATTAACTTTAATTCTTGCAGTAGGGTT